TGGGCAGGGGTCGTCCTCCCCTCCAGTACTGCCGATGGAAGGGCATGGCATCTTGGCAAAGTGGTATTTAGGCACCTCCAGGTTTGCTAAGTAAGCCATGGGAGCGATGAGATACCTGTTATCTTCACTAATGTTGAATGCTGGAGAGCAGGCTAAGTCTGATTGTCACTCTATATCCAGGATCTGTTGCCTAATAAGATCCTTAGCTTGGTCCCATCCCAGACTTAGCAGTTGTCTTTGGGAGAGGCCTAGAGTTGTGATTTTTGTTGCCACTACCTTATTCCATGTAGACTGAAATTCGTCTCTCAGAGTTAACGGGGCAAGGCCACATGTTGTGAAAGACAGATGCAGCCAGTAATTGAGGGTGGCTGTCCACACTCTCACCTCCACTCTCACGAGGCCTGTCTCTAGTGACAGAGTAGTGTTTGAGACACATCTGGGGACCTGCATCACCGATCTTAGGAATTTTGATTGTACCTGCTCCAGAGGGGCATAGTTTGAAAAGGGGCCGAGTTGGGTTCCATACATCATTTGTGCTATGGGTTTTGCCTCAAAGAGCTTAAGTGCTGCTGGTATGAATTGGTCTCCTCCCATCTTGAGAAACTTTAGGATAGCGTGTGAGCTCTTTTGCGCTGTCTCTGCTACATAGTCAGCATGTTTCTTGTTTCCAGTGCAGTGATAAAATACTCCCAGGTATGTAAAGCTTGACACCTATTCAATATTGTGTTCGTCTAGTCTCCAGGTGTGATAATTGGGTCGATTCGCGCACACCATAATTTTGGTTTTTTGAAAATTAAGATGAAGCTGTTCTGCATTACAATATTTTGTTAGGGCTCTCAAGGTTCTTTTCAGGCCTACTTGGGTTCTGGATAGTATCACTGCGTCATCTGCATACAGCAGGGTAGATAGGTGTCTTCCTGCTAATTTTGGAGGGTGGAAGTCCAAGTTGTAAAGGTGCTCCACCATGGAGTTAATATAAAAGTTGAATAGTAGTGGAGCCAAAGTGCATGCCTGCTTGATGCCTTTCTCCGATTCAACAGCCCTAGTAAGATGACCTTGAGAACTATATCTTATTTTCAGTGTGGTCCCTTGATGTAGGGTGCGAATTAATTGCAAAAGTCATCTATCTATTGAAGTGGACCCAAGTTTTTCCTATAATTTGATATGGGAGATAGAGTCAAAAGCTGCTTTGAAGTCTATGAATGCAGCATAGAGGGAAGATGTTCTCTGGGAGGTATATTTTTCTATAAGATGTTGTAAAACTATGCACTGGACCCACCTTCCCTGAAGCCGGCTTGCTCCTCCGCAAGTATGTTTTCTTGCTCCATCCAGTCCAGCAATTTCCAATATAGATGCCTTGTGTATATTTTACTAATGGTATTAAGGAGGCTAATGGGTCTGTAATTTGCCGGATCATCCTGCCTTCCTTTTCTTTTATATATTGGTACAATAATTGCCAACCCCTGGTCCTTAGGAATTTGACCATATTTGTCAATACAGGTGAAAATAGATGCTAGGATAGGGGCCCAGAAGTCCAAATTATTCTTTATGACCTCGGGCGGTATCGCATCCTCTCCTGGTGCCTTTCTCAATTTTAGTTGGGCTAACGTGTTTTCAGTGGGAGTTTGATGCATCGGCATGGACTTAACCTGTTTATTGTATCTGATAAGCATAGTCATAATACGGAGGGATACCTAATTCAACCTGTATTGTCAAAGGCTTTCATGGCCGGAATCACTGGGTTGTTGTAGGTTTTTTGGGCTATATGGCCATGGTCTAGAGGCATTCTCTCCTGACGTTTCGCCTGCATCTATGGCAAGCATCCTCCGAGGTAATGAGGCAAAAGGGTTTATATATCTGTGGAATGACCAGGGTGAGACAAAGAACTCTTCTCTGCTGGAGCTAGGTGTGAATGTTTCAACTGACCACCTTGATTAGCATACAATGGCCTGACTGTGCCTGGGGCAAACTTTGTTGAGAGGTAATTAGATGTCCCTGCCTTCTTCCTCTCTGTTGTTGTGCTGTTGCAATTTTAGAGTTTTTTTAAATACTGGTAGCCAGATTTTGTTCATTTATGGTTTCCTCCTTTCTGTTGAAATTGTCCACATGCTTGTGTATTTCAATGGCTTCTCTGTGTAGTTTGACATGGTGGTTGTGAGAGTGGTCCAGCATTTCTGTGTTCTCAAATAAAATGCTGTGTCCAGGTTGGTTCATCAGGTGCTCTACTATGGCTGGCTTCTCTGGTTGAAGTAGTCTGCGGTGCCTTTCATGTTCCTTGATTCGTGTTTGGGTGCTGTGTTTAGTGGTCCCTATGTAGACTTGTCCACAGCTGCATGGTACACGGTAGACTCCTGCAGAAGTGAGAGGATCCCTCTTGTCCTTTGCTCAATCCACTTTATAAACATTTATGAAAGTTATCCATCTACCCACCACAGATTCTGGAGATATGACATAAAGAACCAACTTCCAAATTTAGTAAAATCATCTGTGGTGATTTCTTCAGTCCTTCCAAATGTTTCATTAAGGAGCTCATGGATCAAACCACAAGATTTTTTTTAAACGTTTAAGGACACGTACACTCTGTTTTACCTTGAATATCATTTGCAACATTATCAAGGCTATTTCCAGGAAGACATGTACCAGGTAATTTGATTACTTTAATTCTGCAGGGTGTGTGCTTTGAAGTGATGTGGCTTCATTAATAAGCATTAGTGTCTACCATGCAAACAAAGAATCTACTTTGTGAGCCAATGTATGCATTCCTTTCTGTGAACAAAGTCTACTCCTTTGAATAATGTTTACTTTTTCTTTTGTATATAGGCTGAATAAAGCTTTCATGCGAAAAAAATACATAAAAGAAATGTCAGCCTCTGTTCGTTACTTGCTTAGAGCTTCTCTGTGCTGTCTTTCTATAGTGCGTCTGTAGAAATGTAAGGCAAATATTACATGCATCAACCCTGCAAGTGCTCTAGTGACATCTTGCAGTTATAGAGTCATGGATGGAGGTGACATGGATGCCTTAATAATAGGGGAGAAAAGAATATTTGCCATTATCTGTTGATGGGCTGAAAAATAGGAAACCCATTTGGGAAGAATAATACAGTAGTGAGGATTTTGTGCAGTTTTCACACATCCAGTAAAACCATTGACAAATTATTCAGCAGAGAAACATGTTGGGTTTTGCATACATAAAACTTTTTCTAGGATGAGGTCCCTAGGACATCATCACACGAGTGAATGAATCCACTTCAAATCCGGTTTCTGCCTCATATACAATTCTGGGTTTTTTTGTTTAGTGCAGCCATTAAAGGCTTCTCCCTAAACTAAAAACCCCAGAATTCTGCAGGAGGCAGCAACCAGATTTAAAGTGGATTCATTCCCAACTGTGATGAAGTAGCAAGTAGACACATATTGCCGGGTTGTTGTTTTTTTTCCAGGGTTGGTTTTCTAGGTGAAATACATCATTACTTTAGAAGGAAGTTTAACTCCTTTGGGTCCATTACTCTTCATAATCTCACATAATTCTGTACATTTGTGCCATCAATGAGGACAAAGGAAATGCCTACCAAATCTGGAGGCATCTGGAGTTCTAATAGCATTTCTGTGAATTTGTTAATTTGAGGGTTACCAACAGATTAAACTTTTATACCTTTCTTGCATCTTTCCTGATTCACAAATCTTTAAGGGTAGACAACCTATAGGCAATGTACAGATCTCAAGGACAGATGTACAGTAGGGCTGGGCGGTTTCGTTTCGTTAATTCGTAATTCGTTAATAATTCGTTAATTTTTTCAATTACAAAACGATAACGAACCATTCTGGAGCAATTATTAAAAAAACGAATTTTCAAAAACGTTTTGTAAATGCTTCGTATTTCGATATTGTATTCGTTTCGTTATTGTTTTGAGGTCGTTTCGTTATTATTTCCGCATGTCTGGGCCAGTTTTATGGTTTAATTAGTGAAAAAAATTATAATATCACACCAACAGTCAACAACAGAGGGAGAGGGAAGCTTCAGAAGGTTTTGGAGGTTTTTTAGCGTATTTTCGCGGTCGCGTCCGCCATTAACGAATCGATTCGTTATTGTTTCGGAAATCGATTCGTTAATTTTTTACCATTTACGAAATTTCGTAAATATCGAACTTTTTAAAAGGAAAATTTTGTAATTATTTTAAATATCGAAACAACTCCAAAACCCCCAAATACAAATCGATTTTAGAAACAAATTTTTCCATTGTTACCCAGGCCTAATGTACAGCTTGACTGGTGAATCCCCTCCTGCAGTTGGACCTGAGGTTGTTGCATCCCTGGTGCTAACGTAACTGCAGAAACAGTGACTATAAAGGAGATATAATTGCTATTTCTACACTACCAATAACAGAGGGCAGGCAGAATGCCTGATAGAAGTCACTCTCGGGATTATACAGAATAAGCATTCACCTTCCACCCTCACCCCATCCCACAGGCCAAAACAGGAAATCCTGCCCCATTACTTTGAGAAGGATCATTGAGATTGGGTGTAAGGTCAAACATTCTTTCATCTTGATAATCATGGGCCTCCCTACAAACCCATTCTGTGCATGTATACAGTTGCATGTGTAATAGGAATGGAAAGAATATTCAAAATACAGTACTCAAAAACTGGTTGGAAAACATGTTTTTCAAGTGTTAACAACTTTTGACAAGAAAATTCCAATGCTGACAAGAATTTTCACAATTCTGGCTGTTAATGATTTTCAATGCCTCATGTATTACGGCCCAATTTCCTCCTCTCAATAGCTACACTGCTAGTAGAGGAAATAATAGGTGTGGATTGAACAGAACATATAAAATGTACAACAGATCTCTGGCAGGTCAATGCTGAATTTAGAGCACTTTCAGGATTTTAAATGTGGTTACTGGGATTTTTCATTTGCTGTCTACATTTGAACAGAACTAGTCCCTTTTGGTTCACTACACTGATAGCAGCATTTTTTTAAAAAAATAAATCAATGCCCTACCTGAAGACATGCAGGCGCTCTGCCCTGAGGCTTATTCACATCAACATCTACTAGCTGCCATCCTCCTGCAGCATCTTCATGAAACATCTGGAGGAGAGAAAACACACTTGTCAGAAGCAGTTTATGTGCTCAGAGATACAAATAAAACTGGTGAGCTCTCACCCTCCCCCCAAACATCATTCTGTCTACATTGCATTCTCGTCTTGCAGAAGAAAATCTCTTGATATTATAGGAAACATGACTCACTGCTGTCTCACTGTAAATAGTCAACAGCATTTGAGTATTTCAAAACAGAAGAATGTAGGGCCTGAATTGGGCATAGGATGTGAAAATGATAATTTCACACATTTTGACAAATCATTATTCAAGACTCCTTTGAAAATAATGTGAATGCTAATATATGTGAATATAGTTAAAATAATAATAATAATAATAATAATAATAATAATAATAATAATCAGACAAATATCATAAACCAATATTGTGGCTGACAACAATAGTGGGTTTGGGCTCAGGATTCCTAGAAGCGATTATTCCTAAGGGCAGGTGTGGCAAACGGAGGGCTGGGCTAGTAGGCAAATGCCCTTACCTTATTAAAAAGTTAGAAGTGCTAGAAGGGACCAAACCAAAGTGCAGGAGCTTAGATAACATCTGATCATTTCACATGCTCTTCTCTTCTTAGCATATACACATATTTATATGCTATATATATTCTTAGCATATACACATAGATATTTATTGCACTGGGTAATGCAATTTAACAATGTGTATTAAGAGAATCTGACATGATTTTAAAGCAAGTCATGATTTCCTTGGCCTCCTTATTCTTATCCACCTGAACATTAGGAAGAACTTTCTGACTGTGAGAGCTGTTTAGCAGTGGAACTCTCTGCCCTGGAGTGTGGTGGAGGTTCCTTCTTTGGAAGCTTTTAAGCAGAGGCTGGATGGCCATCTGTCAGGGGTCCTTTGAATGAAATTTTCCTGCTTCTTGGCAAGGGGTTGGATTGGATGGCCCACAAGGTCTCTTCCAACTCAATGATTCTATGATTCTTATCCACTCAAAGGAAAGCAATAAATCATCTTATATATACCCAAATGGCAAATGCATCTATTCCAGTATTCTATGCTACAAATGGCAGTGGTGGCTACTTTGTACTTTTAAGTCAAAGGTGAGTCTCTTATAGTCTGAGGACCAATTGTTATTGCAAAGGAATAATAATAAGGATGGCATATCACAGAAGAGTGTAGCTACAGAGGTGTGACAAAATGAGGATAATAGATCCCAAAATAACAAATTTTCCTTCAGTACCCAAATTGCTAGTATTGTGGTAGCTTGGCACTTCAGTTGAACATTTGAAATACAGTTACAAAGAAAAGAGGCAAGCATCAGTACCAAAAGCTCATGAACACAACAAATGTAAGAATTCTAAGTGTGGACAATTTTTCATGTCTCACTCTTTGCAATGCTAGGAATTTGGGGGCTGAAGGAACATTTCGGAGGGGGGACGGGCAATTCTTATTGGGGGGCATTTCGTCTCCTACTCAATTGCTTTAATCCATTCCAGGGAGGGCAGTCTAAAACGCAAATGAATGGATTCAAACAGGTCAGTATATTTTTGATCTCAAGCTTCTTACTGCCAGCAAGCAAACCTTATAGACATTTCAGTCTTTAAAAATAGAAAGAAAAAAGGATCTGTATTAAAACTGAGACACTTCAAGATGCTGAAATTATGGAAAGGGAACATTGACCTCTGGGGAACTCTGAAAGACTAAGACACAAGTAGAGCTGGATTCAGGCACAGGGCCTAAGGCTTACCATTCCCATTGTTAAAAGAAATGTCAGAGACTACATCTGGGAAATTTGGATTTTTAAAGCATGCCATGGCAAGTTATAGTATCTTTTCACTCTCTAGGTATATGAAAAAAAATAAAAGCTTACTGGACTGTTGTCATATAGACCAATGCTTTTTAAGCTGCCCAATGTGTAAGATGAATAGGAAAAGCATATTAATTCCTTATAGTGTAGACTACAGAAAGTTTTAGAAAGTAAAAACAGGTCTCACAATAAGGCCTTGTATCCAAATGCTAATCACAGAAGCCAAGGAAAGTATAGATTAAGTGTTGGCTGCTACAATTCTCTCCATAGATCATTTCATTAGGAATGGGCATCATAACTGCTAGGACAATTTAATGGAATTGCTGAGCTCCTGCAATCATGAATGATGCAATGGGGAAGCATTACTTCAAGACTATTTCTGACATTATGATTGCTTGATCTGAGACAACTGACTTTATTGAGGTAGAAAAAGTTGAGCAGCCATAGTAATGGCCAGGAAAATGAAGGGCAAATAGGAGGCAATGAGGACGGATGTCCTATAAAGCTATTCTGCATATATCTTCTGCTTTGGGTGAGGAGCCTAACTGACCACAATTTTTATGGCATTATGTTGTGGTGTTATGGTAATGTAATTGCCTTCCAGGAAAGCACTCCTGACATCGTGCCCCAGTCATGAAAAAACTAATCGCTATAGTCATTTAACATTATTGCCTATGCTATTAAATAGCTGTGATTTTCTTTAGGCATTGTTTATTTATCATTTACAATGTAAAGAAATAGTCAATGCAAGGAAATCAGTTATTAAAATCCTGCTCCTTACGTTGTAGGAGGAGAAACTGATATCTGGGACACTGAGCAGAGCCTACCCTAAGGGAAATTAAAAGGCTATTTATTCAGCAGGAATCCAACAGCCACAAGCAAAAGAAACCAATAAAATGGCCAGAACTTGATTATTTGTGAAGTTGAGCAATATTTTTTCTCCAGAACTCTATCGATCCTCCAAGGTGACTTTAGGGTTGATCATAGAGGGCCCGTCCAGACAGAATCTGTCTGGGTTTTTACTACGGGGTCCAAACAATGCTCCCGATAAAAATGAATAAATTTGGAATACTCAATTATCTAATTATAATTAATTAGATACCTCATTAAATCCAGCCCCTCCTGGCAGGCTGAGGTCTAATAAGGTGTTGGGCCTGTGGGGACTCACCCCCTGGTAGTCCCAGGACTATCTGAGGGCGAGTTCCCATTTGCCATCCCAAACCTTTTGGGCTCCTGGAGCCCAAAGGTCTGGGATGGCACCCACCCCCTCTCTCCCTCCTATGTATCCCTAAAAAGAGGAGGACTGTAATGGCAGTTGGGTGAGGTTTTTTTTCTTTTTAGGGGTTCTTTTGGAGGCTTTTGGGGTGACTGAATGCCATCCCAATAGCAATCAGGATGGCATTTAGCCACCCTCCCCGAGAAAGCCCAAGTTCTGGGTGGCTTGTGAGGCCAGAAATGTGTGCCAAAGCGGGTTTTATAAACCTGCTTCGGCATGCATTTCTGACCTGTTTGGAAGCACCCACAGTCACCCTGGAAAAACCTATAGATTCCTAGTGGGAGCATTTTTCTTGGAATCTGTAGGTCTTAAGGCATGGATTAACCAATCACTCTATGGTTAATGTATGGTTAACTTCCAGTCACTCTAGAGCAGTGGTTCTCAACCTGTGGGTTCCCAGATGTTTTGGCCTTCAATTCCTAGCAATCCTAACAGCTGATAAATTGGTTGGGATTTCTGGGAATTGTAGGCCAAAACACCAGGTGACCAACAGGTTGAGAACCACTGCTCCAGAGGAGCTAAAGGTATTGTCTCAGATTTAAAATATGTTTTTTTTAATTCATGTGGATAATCTACATTGCTAAATCTCACAAAAGTGGAGTCTCTATTTCATATCTTTTCTTTGCAATCCTCTGTTTTACATATTTTCAATTCACACCGTTGCATTCCCTTCTTTCCCAGTTCACTCTTCCTTTGCACAATTTGTGAGATATTGCTACTGTTTTTTTCACACATCTGCTGGAGTCCTACTCCTTCAGATAGCAGTCTCTCAAGCAATTGCAACAACAAAATGCATTTGGTATAATTAGAATTGAGAAATTATATATTTGTTCTTGGTGAATTATATGCATGTAAACTTGGAATGTATAGACTGAAATCATTGAATTCTGAATCAGCTACTTCATTGCATCCTACAATGTATTCATAATAGTTTGACAATAACTTGTAAATGTACAATAGAACAAGCAAGATTCATAGTTACACACCTGTATTGGACAAAGAGACTATTTGCATTTAACAATGCCTACCTGTGTAGTAGCTGTTGAAGTAGTACTGCTTCTGGACCCCCACATCTGCTGGAACTGCACACGAATTTCAGCAAATGTCTCAATGATGACAGCAATGAATACATTCTGTAAAAGAAAGTATGTACATGTGGAAGTTCATAAATAATTAACAGTATATATATCTATATCTATCTATATATATATATAGACACACACATATGTGTGTGTGTGTGTGTTCTGTGTGGCAGAGAAGGGAAACCCAGTGATTTATAATACAGTTCTACAATACCTTAACAAGCCAAGCAAGGAAGAAAATTAAGGTGATGAAATAGAAGTAGGAGCGCCACCGAGGGAAGCTGTCAATTGCTCGATACATCAGGAAGACCCAGCCCTCTTGAGAAGCAGCTTCATAAACAGTAAATATGCTTGTACCTAACAAAAAGAAACATGAAGTCTATATTCAGTGCAGATCATAAGAAACATTTTCAAAATGAACAGTCATCTTTCCTTTAATCCATGTTTCTTCTATGAAAGAAGCCTCCACAAAAAGAACAAATACATTTCTCACTGACTATGGTTAGCTTTCAGTTGTTGCCACATTATGGTGTACAATAGTTAATCCTGAAAATATGCACAGATTAACCTGTAGATATAAAATTGTTGAAATCTCTTAAATGACTTAGGTTTTTTACTCATGTATTCTTAGTCATTATTTTATGAACTCTGATGAATGCATTTCTGGCATCTGACTATTGGACTGTGACCTGCATAATTGTTTATTCCTGCTCCTCATCATTGGACTCCATAGTACTTGGTTTGTCTGCATTAATTGGCCTTGGCCTTGGTTTGTGTTCATTGTTAATCCAGCACTGTTCTGCAATTATCTTATTTTAACAAGACCTTGAAAAGATTAAAGATTTCAGGTTTTTTTATAAGTAAATATGACTTTGCAACCTCTGCGGAAATATCAACTTTCAGCTTTCTCAAATGCAATTAATGAACTGGTTAGATTACTATATTGTCATCATCTCTTGTTCCAAAAGAATCAAAGAATGTTTGTTTCAAAAATTTTGGAATTTTCAAGAACACACATATTAACCAAGAACCTGGATGAGTCCTTATGAGGATGGAAGTCCTGAGGTGGAACTCATAAAAGGAATATCTGTGCAACCATTGTAGCCCCTATAAACCCACAATGACTTGACAGTTGTTCATCCCTGGCACAGTGTCTCTTTTCTTCAGGACAGATATTGCGGACTCACAAGGGCTGTGTGAGGATGGGGAATCTGCCTTCTCCAATATTTGTTGACAGGCTTCTTTTATCAGCGCAAGGACCATAGAAGCCTCACATCTGTATTAACACAGGTCTTACATCTATATGGATTTAAATACTTTCAAGAATACATCCACTGAATTTTTTCATTCTGTTTCATAACATTGTTTTCACTTGCACTTTTTTCTCCAAAGAAGAATGCAGTTTTAAAGCTACCAGTAGTTTTATGTCCAGTAGTTGCAGTTCTTTAAAATTTTGAAGAATGAATAAAAATGACTATAGTTGAGATTTGGAATATTTATATATATATAAATGCTCTGTTCATTTTGAGTGATATCATAATTTAAAAACCATTGGACTAATTGCCACAAGACACCTATGAATCCAAGGAGTGATCATCACTCAAAAATTGATTTTGTCATTTGGAAGATATAGTTGCTGGGATTTATAGTTAACCTACAATCAAAGAGCATTCTGAACTCCACCAATGATGGAATTGAACCAAACCTGGCACACAGGACTCCCATGAGCAACAGAAAACACTAGAAGAGTTTGGTGGGCATTGACCTTGATTTTTGAAGTTGTAGTTCACTTACATCCAGAGAGCACTGGGGACTCAAACAATGAACAGATAATACTGTGTTTTCTGGTGGTCTTTGGTGACCCCTCTGACACTCCCTTGCTACCCCCCCCCCAGGGTCCTGACCTTAAGGCCATCCAGTCCAACTCCCTTCACCAGGGCAACAAAACATAATCAAAGCCCTCCTGACAAAGAGCCATCCAGCCATAGAAATAGATAGATATATATGATTCACATACGCACATATATGTATATGACAGATGTATCATAGATTTGAAAGGGACCTTTAAAGAAAGACAATTATATGTTGCATTTCCCAGAGAAGACAAACCAGATGATCTCTACATCAACACTGACAAAGAAACAACATGATATACTATTTACCCACAAACATAAAGAAATTACATATATTAGAAGCCAACATGTCCTCACTACTTTCCTTCCCAGATCACCAGACTGGGCCACAGCAACGTGTGCCAGGGGATGACTAGCAAAGTAATATTTTAAAATAATACTTGTGATTTGGAATAGTTGTAGAGTTAAGAATATTTGTTGAAGTTTCTGTGGCAGAATGTCACATCAAAACATTTTTGCAAGTGTAAGGAATATTTGTCTTAATGTTGATACTTTGGAAATAGGCTATTATGTTTTTAAAATTTGCTACTCAAGACTTTCTTCCTTTCATTCCTATTGAACCATTGGATCTACTCAAGGAAACCATTTAACCTAGTTTAAAAGAAATAACACATGTGGCAAACATCTATTCTGAAGGTGAAATACACCCATAATGATACCTATTTATTGCAATCCGTCCATCAGTTCTGTCTCTGTAACCTGGAGAAGGGATAAAATGACCCCCCCCCTACAAATTCTATGAGTATAATTAAATAAGGCAGATTTTATTTCTGGATATGTAGGCAGACTTTGAAGCATCAAGGTTTTAATTACTCTTAATTATGGTGTCAAGAAAATCACTAGGGATTTTAACTGAGCCCTGCAATTCTTCTCCTTCCCCTCCTCCCAAATGAAGCTCAACAGCTGTTGCCGAGTTACAGAAAAACAAATGCAAAATTGGGAAGGTTGCATGCACACACACACATGAAGAAAGAAAGAAAGAAAGAAAGAAAGAAAGAAAAAAGAGAGAGAGAGAGAGAGAGAGAGGTGTTTGCATATGTGTGAGACAAATTTATATATGAGAAATAGTGCTTGGAGCTTTTTTGCCTTTTAACTGAAGCGAGATAAGGTGACAGAATACACACACTGAATCTACTATAAAATTGGTTCCATTTTTTTTTAAAAAACCTGGAAAATGTGGCAAAGGCTTTGTCAGCACTACAATTTCATTCAAAAGATCCCTTAGAATTCCCTGAGGCTAGAAAGACTTTACAGAGAATTGTTGCAGAGCCACCATTAATCATTCACCCATTTACCCCAAAATCAATCATGAACACTGTTTCTAAAGCATTTTCAGTTGGGTTGCAAATGCTTAATGTAAATGTTTTTCTGCTTCTTTTCTATCAGATATTGTGTAGCAGAGGAATATTGGGACAGTGAAATGCAATGATGAATTCCTCTTTGTGTTTAAGTTTGATATTTAATGAGATTTCAAATTGCTGAACCCTATTTCCCCAAATAAGTTCAGCACCTTGGATAGCTTCTTCAGGGTTTAGACTAAAATTTAGAACAGATTCATTGCCCCACAGGCATGGGAGGCACCAGCTGTCATTGCTATTCCTGCAATCTAAGCGGCAGAGATAATTCTTCACTAATTTGATTATCAGAGAAGCAACAAGTAAATTTAACAGGGATCTTCCCCTTGGAAGAAACCCTTAAAATGCTTCAATTTCAAAGCCTATTTGCAATGAGAGACTTATTATGTGCAAAATTAAGGCATTGATGTTTTGGCCATTTTCTGCACAGGACACCGTTTTCTTGGCTGTTGATTTCCCAGTAACATTCTTCTCCTTTCACCTTCTTGGCCCAAATAGAATGTCATGTTTTTCAGTTCCTGTACCAATCTTCAAAGTGCTGGAAACATTAATTCCTTTCTGGAAATCTGTGAATTCCCATTCCATCCCTTCTTCACACACAACAGCTTTCTTTAGAATATAAAGAATCACTAAGATTTTTTTTTTATTTTGGAAAGGCAGGAAGGAGTCAGACAGAAACCAGTGAAAGCAGCAATGCTTTGTAAAATATGTATCTTATGTAAAAACCAGCAATTGGAGTAATACATTAATAAATCTTCAGGAATGTGGTAAATTTGTTATAGATCATTCTTACTTTACTTCTTATTAGTATTCAGCAGTTGAAGAATGACTGGATACTTAGTACATATTAACATATGATCTGGATTCTTCCAGATCATGTTCATGGTACCTGCCTCTCTCAAACATTTAGGTGATAATATGGCATCAAAATTATATTCAGTCTTTTCTATTACATCTTCTCTTTGCAAGATATTCATGGAGACCACCAAAATAATCTCTGATTCTCAGCACCTTTTTTCTCATAGTACCAAACTACCATTTGAAATAAGTATAAATGCAGTATTACTTTTTCATACTTTTAGATATTTATTTGTTTATTTATTGGAACAATACCCAAACTTTCTCCCAGAATGGGTTTCAAGGTGGTTTCCAAAAGATTTAAACATGAATTTTTTAAAAAAGTTTTAAAACAATTAAATAATAATGGATTAAAACCATGATTAAGACAGTTAAAACACATTTAAAACATAGGTAAAGGTTTCATATGACATTAAGTCTAGTCACGTCCAACACTGGGGGGTGGTGCTCATCTCCATTTCTAAGCCAAAGAGCTGGTGTTGTCCATAGACACCTCCAAGGTCATGTGGCCAGTGTAACTGCATGGAGCTCCGTTACCTTCCCTCTAAGGCGGTACCTATTGATCTACTCACACTTTGCATGCTTTTGAATTGCTAGGTTGGCAGAAGCTGAGGCTAACAGCGGGAGCTCACCCCACTCATCAGATTCGAACTGCCAACCTTTTGGTTGGCAAGTTCAGCAACTCAGTGGTTTAACCCACTGAGCCACCAGAAGGCCTCATTTAAAACATAATGACAAATAATTCAACCAACAAATAAAATAAAATACAGTACCCTACTTATATACTACTGCTATATCATATACAACTCAAAGGTCTGCCTGACTAAAAAGGTTTTCACTGTTGATGGAAAGAAGGCAGAGAAAGGACCAATGAGACCTCTTGTGGAAGGGTGTATTACAGCTTAGGTGGCAGCCATGGAAAAAGCTCTATCTCGTGTTCTCACAAAACATGACTTTGAATATGGTGAGGTAACAAGAAAGCCCTTTCCTGTATATCTTAAAGCTTGTGCTCACTTTTGGATAATCTGGACCCATGCTGTTTAGGACTTTAAAGGTCAAAGCTAGCACTCTGAACTGGCAGCCAGAAAAGTTATTTCAACAGGATGTCACATGATTCCCATAACCAGTCCCAATCATCAGCCTGGCCGAAGCATTTTAAACCTGCTGAAGTTTATGAATGATTTCCAAATGCAGCCCCATGTAGAGCATGTTACAATAAGGCACATTTCAC